GGTTGTTGTTTTTACTGACCATGCAGCTTTGAAGTACTTGTTGAAGAAGCCGGATGCAAAATCGAGATTGATTTGGTGGATGTTGTTGCTCCAAGAGTTTAATGTAGAGATTAAAGACAAAAGTGGAGATGAGAATTTAGTAGCTGATCACTTGAGTAGAATAGAGCGAGATGAAGATCCTTTTCCCATCCAGGATGACTTTCCTGATGAGCAACTTTTACTTGTGCATGGTATTACTCCTTGGTTTGCTGATGTTGTTAATTATCTTGTTGCTAGTGTTTTTCCTACAGGTGCATCCAAGTCACAGATTCACAAACTCAAGAGTGATACCAAATATTATGTTTGGGATGATCCATATCTTTGGAAGTTTGGTAGTGATCAGGTAATTAGGAGATGTGTCCCTGACTATGAGATTGAATCTATTTTGAATTTTGCTCATTCATCTTAAGTCGGGGGACACTTTGGCCCTCAAAGGACTGCAAGGAAGGTCCTAGACTCAGGTTTCTTTTGGCCCACTATTTTTAAGGATGCTTTTGAGACTTTCTGCACTTGTAAAGAGTTCCAGATAGCAGGTACAAACATTACTCGAAAGAGTGAAATGCCTCAGCAACCGATGTTTTTCTGTGAAGTATTTGATGTATGGGGAATCAACTTCATGGGTCCCTTCCCTGTATCATTTGGTTTTCTATATATTTTACTTGTTGTTGATTATGTTTCAAAGTGGGTGGAAGCTATCCCCACTGGGACTAATGATTCTAGAGTTGTTGCAGACTTTGTCAGGTCTAATATCTTTTACAGGTTTGGAATCCTGCAAGCTATCATAAGTGACCAAGGCACTCATTTCTGTAACCGCACCATGGAAGCTTTGCTCCGAAAGTATGGAGTTGTGCACAGGGTCTCTACTGCATATCACCCACAAAAAAATGGGCAAGCTGAAATCTCAAACAGAGAGATCAAACAGGTTTTAGAGAAAATGGTGCAACCAAACAGGAAGGACTGGAGCCGCCGTCTAGAAGACGCACTTTGGGCTCAAAGAACATCTTTCAAGACACCCATTGGGATGTCTCCTTATCGACTTGTTTTTGGTAAGGCATGTCATCTTCCTGTAGAGATAGAGCACTGTGCTTACTGGGCGGTGAAAAGTTGTAATTTGGAGATGCAAGAAGCAGGTATTGAAAGAAAACTCCAATTGCAACAGCTTGAAGAGCTTAGACTAGAGGCTTATGAGAGCTCTAGGATTTATAAAGAAAAAACTAAGCACTTCCATGATAAGATGATTTCTAGAAAGGAATTCTCTGTAGGGCAACAAGTTTTATTGTATAATTCTCGCCTTAAGCTTATGGCTGGGAAAATTCGATCCAAATGGATTAGTCCTTTTGTTGTCACTAATGTTTTTCCTCATGGTGCAGTAGAAATTAAAAGTACAGGTACTGACAAAGTTTTCAAGGTCAATGGGCAGCGCCTAAAGCTTTTTCATCAAAGTTCAGTACCTGAAGATGTGAGCATAGAGGAGCTTTCTTTGGAAGCGCCTAACTACACTGCAACTTGATCAGGGAGTTCTTATTCCTTTCTCTCAACTTTAATAATTGCGTCCTTTCATTGAGGACAATGCTTGTTTTAAATGTGGGGGAGGGAATCATTTTGTTTCTTTACTTTTATTTTAATTTCAGTTGTTTTTGTTAAAAAATTAAATAAAATGCATCTATTTGAAAGTTTTGGGTTGCAAACTAATTTGAGGTTATGTTTGTGGAGACTTGGGAAAAGATCACAAGATTGGTATCGTCTTAACACTGTCTCCTGCATATGGAAATTGATTTGAATTCTTATTATGTATTAGCCTTGAATTCTCACTCTCTAATAGCTCTTGAGTAGTTTATTTCAGCAGTCAGCACCATCTCACACACTTTACGTAAGGAAGCCGATGAATATAAGTGAGTGTTCCGAAGAAAAAAAGTGTTTTAAAAAGAAAAAGAAAAAAAGGAATGCACCTTCTAAGTTTGGTGACCCTCACCCGGTCACTTAACCCAACGGTCGTAGTGCCTACAGATTTTTTTTTCGAGAATAGGACTCGTTATTAGTTGGTTCAGCGGTTTCTGGTGCTGAACTTGGTAGGGCGGATTACGGTCCGATCCTCCGCAACTGCAACTGAGTAAGCAAAGGGTTATGCCATGTAAGTACCAGAACCTCGTGCAAAAAAGGATCAGAGTCACTAACCGGTCGCTTTGCTATGAGTGTGTGGAGATAACGGGCTTAATGTGATTGCGCCTGAATGAAAAAGAGCAAAAAGGAGGATGAGTAAGTTAGGCTTTTGCATAATAATATGATTCATATTGGTTTGTATATTCAGGAGGCAAGACTAGTGTTCCTACGATATCCTTAGTGTATGAGACTAGTACCTGTTGATGCAATCTTGACCGAAGATGAATTTGTAGCCTATGATGAGTAATTGATGATGCTTTTGTGTTTCTTTTGATTGCATTTTGCTCGGAGTGCAAAAGTTCAAGTGTGGGGGAATTTGATCAGTGCATTTTGATGCACATCCTTCCACGATTGTACTAATGCATTTCTTTAGTTTATTGTGTTTATTTTTATGTTTTAATATGTTTTGCTAATTTATTTTATTTTTGCATTTAATTAATTTTCGTATTTTATTTTCAACAACTGCAGCTTTCGCGGAAAAATTCATAACTGGAGCTACGGGAATCAAATTGAGGCGTTCTAATATTGGTTGGAAAGTTAAGAAAAAGACCTACAACTTTCTAGTTGTAGCCAGATGCTGATTCAGACTGTAGCAAGGTTGGAAAAGTTGTTGAAGTTGCAGCATTTTATATTTAAGTTTGAGTCATTTGTTTTGGGACTGAGTTTTGTATCCGACCCAGTTGGGTTGTTTCTTTTTAGTTTTTACCTAGATGCTACAGTAATTTTTTGGGGGGGGTGGGGGGGGGATCCCATTCACTGTTTACAAAAAAGAGAAAGCTTTGTACGAATCAATGAAGAACTAAAACCTTTCTGACGGATTTACTGTACTCAGGTTCCAACTTTGAGATTGTTATAGTATTTGCAATTTAATTTCGATTCCTTTCAACTATGTTATGAGATTGTTGTTTGCTTAATTCTATTTTCATATAACATTGTTGATTTAATTTGATTGATAAATGTTCCCAAATCTAATCGCGATTGACTTTGCTTAATTGTTAATTTGCGTCACTTTTAACCGTATGCTTAATTCGGCCATAGGAACATGTATCTCATAGTGTCAACCGCGCTTGTTAATTGATACTGTAATCAAATAGGATAAAAACTTCGCTTAGGAGATTGTAATGTTAACAGTCGATGATAGGTACGAACCGAGGCATTAAATCCATTTGTTATAATCACTCATATAAAATACAACTTATTTTATAATCACTTTTCATAATCATCTTATTTGCCTAAAATCGAACCAAACCCCCCTTTTAATTCGATTTCAGTTAGTTAATAATATTTCAAGAATCCTTGAGAACGATATTCGAGCCATTTGTCGCTAAATACTACAGTTTTGAAACCGTTTCGTAAAAACACTCGTTTTGATCCGCGCGCGACAGCGGATCACTGGAAAAAAGTCCCCTAATTCCTCTTCCAAACTGGGCTAAATAGTGAATAATCCATTTGTCTTGGTCAGAAATGCCCAAAACACCCTTTTGGGTCCCAAATAGTGAAAAATCATAAAAATACTCAAAATCAACGTAACTGGCCAACACGGCCCGTGCAAGGTGACACAACCACTCGTGTTGGCCTTCTGATAATTCATTTTCTTTTTCCAGTCCCAAGCATGCTGACACGGCCACCCGTGTCAGGTCTTCTGTAGCATGATTTTTGCACTTCCTCTGAAACTTCGAATTTGGCATTTTTTAGCTCTGATTCGTCCTGTTTCATTCCTCTGAGCCTGGAAACACAAAAATACACAACTGAAGTATAAAATGCGATAAAATGAAATAAAACACTCGATAATCAAAAGAAAAGTAATCGAAATTAATGGCAAATAACTGTGTAAAAACCACTGGTCAGTGGTTCAAGTGGGGGTGGGGGAAAAGAACCCTGCAGAGTAGGGTGCACACGGTTATCCATTCGCTTTTACTGGGAGTTTTTGTACCATCGAAGGAGAAAAACAAACCCATAGTAAGGGAGACGTCCAAATTCCTACAAAAAACTTAAAACACCCTAATGAAAACATTTCCATTAGGAAATATCTAACTATAGGCGACGTTGATGTCGTGAGTATCTCAGACTCGATTGCAACAAAATGGATTAACACCCCTAAGTTATAGATCACAGGAATATACATGTAGAACAAATAACCATCTAATTCCTCGAGGGAAGCCACACACACTCTCGCATAATTGAAGCAAGGCTCTAAGATTACGTCTTCCTCATCCCCTGTTATGGACAAATTCAGACATTCGTGGAATGAGTCCACCTTCCCTTGCTTGATGTACGCCGAATCATACTTTAACCCCAAATTTATTAGAAGAGCTAGATGCCATGAGTAGATTCGTGGTGCCTGAGAAAGTAGAGAGGAAAAAGAAATCACTTTCATCATCACTCGCACTATGTCTATCTAATAATGCTCTTATAACTCCTAGAAAATCCCACTTCTAAAAAGCATATAGTTAATTAATCCATATGCTTGCTCTGCATTCTTCATGCAATGCAAATATATTTCTTCCCATTATATACCATTTATGGGTTCTATCAACTTGTCACTCTTATATATCCCTAATAATAACCATGATTGAAAATAAAAAGCGCGAAGAGAAGGAAAAAAGGTATATACTTGCGGGCGAGCAGAAAGAAGAACTCTGAGTTTGGAGAATACAAATTGCTTTCCATGAGAAATGAAATATGGTAGCGTGCTTGAAAATGGGGATGGAACTACCCCTTTCATAGAATCACATCCTATGATAAATATGTAATGATGACCTTTCAAGTCACGCTTACAACTTCTCTCACGTTCACAACGCATGCAAAACTATGAGCCGTTTTATCTTCCCAAGGTAATCACATCATAAGGGGAAATTTAATGCAACACATGCCACTACCAATGATGTTTAGAGGACTCACCTTAAGTCTCACTTGATGGACTCACCCTAAGCTTCACTTGAGGGACTCGCCTCAAGCTCAGCCTGCGGGACTCGTCCTAAGCTTTTATCGAGGGATTTGATGCTATCCCTTTCGAGGTGAGTCCTCTAGATAAAGGCTAGAGTGATACTTATTAATCACTTAGCCCTTTCTAATACCCTGTGTTTGAGGGACTAAAGATTTGGATAATCTTATTAGATTTTGTGAGGAATAATTTAAAGGACACGACCATGGAAATTGTACAAATATGGGGTGATTATCCAACAATGCACCATTAGGCGCCAGAACCAAATGGGCAACTGGCGCACCAAACTGCTTGTCATGTTGGCCGTGAGTCTAGCCTCCCTAATTATACCACCTTTTCACCGACTCTGCTAATGAGATATGTGGCACATACAATTAGTCAATGGATAGTTGCATTTCCCACAGTTGCAAGAGTAGGTTAATCTTGCCACACCTGTACCTTCGCCCGAAATTGAAGAAAACTCTTTCTCCTGGTCTATGATCCAGGCCCAATGATGCTTCCTGTATATACATGTACTTGTCAAAAATACAATACGAGACAACCCATATTGATTAAGGGATGTAAAAGATTTTTAGGGTCTATTGTAGGGTTTAAAACTAGTTCACGACCAAAAGTTAAAAAACTTTGTGTATTGTATCCGTGTAATGAGATTGATCCTTTTTCAACATTATGGTTAATATATTTATAGAGGTCCCTAAGCATGGATCTCAGATTCCCAGGAAATAACAATCACTCCCATAAACGTGGGAGTGAGGCAGTTAGCTCCCTATTAATTAGGACCACATTATAAATTCTCCCTTGACCCCTTCTTTGTACTTGTGAGTTAAGACACGTCACTTCCACATTTCTCTTAGAAGGCGAACAATCTGAGAAATGACGCCACATCTAAATGATGGGCGTTCGATTTGATAAATGAACTATCAAGAAAATGTTATAGAAAAGTTGTGACTCTTAAAAATATACTAATACAATATCCCGACTCCATCCTTAGGATGGAAGAGAGATCTCCAATGTCTTTCGAAAAGTCAGACACAGAACTTCTCACAATCTTTTGTTATGATTTATTTCAATATAGTTAAGTTGTGTGGGTGAATCGATACTATGAACAATCCTATTTACCTCCAAGCTAATGCCAAATAGATTCTTATTCCTGTTAAAAAAACACGCAAACATGCTTGAAAAATATTTTAAAACGATTTAAAGATAGTAAATCGATGATTTTTTATTAGACGACCGTGTAAATTTTGCATCTAAGTATAAATAGCCATCATTCACTAAAGACAATAAACACAATTTAAAAAATCAAAACCCTAAATCAACGAAAAGCTAACGAAGCCGCTGAACCAACAAGTTGGGATCTGATTGATCTAAAACACCATCCGCAGAAACACTGAGAAATTCATCATTCAGGTTTTCCTTCTTTTCGTACCTTCCTTTTTCCTCTTCTGCTTCATTCATGTAGCACGCGCTAGGGTTTCGCAACCATTGCGATTTGCGGCTGCGATATCCGCCCCTTACTACGCCGTAGATCGGACCTCTACTCTGCACCACCGGCGTTCAACCGCCGCAATCGACAATCAACCTGTATCCCCTAGTTAGATTTATCTGTTATATCATCAATCAAATGTTAGAATAGATCTACGTGTTTTTTTGAACTGAATGCCGAATTTGTGGTGGTTCAATTTTGTATTCTTATCTGTCTTTTATATTTCCTGCAGCAACATTTCACTTTGCCCCGAATCGTGGCGATTTTAAAACTTATATTTGAAATTGAAAATGTCAAGTAAGAAGGAAGAGAAAGCTCAGGTTGCAGCTGATAGAATCAAGGCTGCAGCATTGACTGCTGCCAAAGGGCTTAGTCGAGCGCAAGCCGAACGTGCGGCAACTGCGGCTGCTCGAAATGTTAATGCTTACGGTCAGAAGGAAGAAGGGCCTAGCAGGTGGCAAGAGAAAAGGGAAGCTAAGAGACAGATGTATTTGATGAGTACTGAGAAAGCTGTTAAATTGGGTGTAAGGAAGGAACATAAACCCACTATGTCAACCATTGGTGGGAATGCACAGTGTCAAAAGTGTTACAGCGATAAACACTGGACGTATGAGTGCAAGGGCGAGCGGGTTTACATTTCACGGCCTTCTCGGACCCAGCAACTTAAAAACCCTAAGTTGAGGGTGAAAGTGTCGGAAGTGACTATGGAAAGTGATTTGGGTTATAATAATAATCGGAATGATGCTAAGGAGGAAAAAGTTAGAGTGAGTCCCAAAAAGACCAAGAGGAAGCATCGGTCGGCTCCTGGTAGTGATAGTGAGGATTCAGTATTTGAGACTGATAGTGGAAGTGGATCATCGTCTGTTACTGGGTCAGATTATTCTTCTGAGAGTAGTTCAGGTTCCAGTTCATCATCTGATTCAGAGGAAGAAAGGAGACGGAGGAAGAGGAGGAGTTTGAAGAAGAAGCAGAGTGAGAAGAAGAGCAAAGGAAAAAGCAGGAGGTACAGTACATCATCTGAATCGTCTGATTCAGATTCTGGTTCAGACTCTGATTCTGATGATAAAAGCAGCAAGAGGAAGAAGAGGCACAGTCGAAGACGTTGAATGAAACTGAAGAATGTATGGAGCAGCTAAGACAGACTTTGGTGAGTAGGTGTCAAACAGGATCAGTGGTCAGCTCCACAGACACAATCTTCAAATTTTAACAGATAAAATGTAAAATAAGCTTTGCTAGATACCTGGGTTGTACGTATTCTCTTTCATTAACTTTGTTATCCTGAAGAAACTTGGAAGTTTGGTTTTATCTTTAATGTTTGACTTTATGGATGATGCTCTATGTATCTTGTGATGCTTAAATAGTTATATGAATTTTGCAAATGATGCAAGTTTCATAACTTCTGCCATACTCAGATAATCCCGTTTACTACTTAAACTTTTTATGGTATGAGTCTTTCATAACTGATGGTTTTCTTGCATTTACATGGCATCAAATTAGCTGAGCTTGAGTTTAGTGCTCAGTGTTTTCATCATCTGACATACTCAACTGTGTTTGTACACCAGTGTTTCAATGTTCAGCTATAAATTGTAGTTATAAGTTGTTGATTCACTGTGAACCCGCTAGCTCTTAATTTACATGAATGTGGCCTTGTGGGAATTTTTCATGTTTTTTCTTGCAGTCTAGCTATGTGCTGAGTGTGTATTTACTATTTTCAACAGAGATGTTTAGATTTAAATACACGACCTAGTGCAACTGACAGAAAACCCTCACGACTAGTCCAATTTCTGTTGCTTAATTGTCAGGTGCTTTTAAATTTTTTTGGGATTGTATAGGCCGTTGTTTAAGTTAAAGCGAATTTTTTTCGAGGCACTTCACCCCTCTTTCCCTTAAAATGCTTGAGGCAACTTAACACCTGGTATCAGGTAATAAGATGTCCTCAAGGACACACGTTCGTACGCGTTCCGTGCATACAGAGTGTGCCTATCTGGCTTCAGGTATGTTGTTGATATCAAGAATAATTGCCTTATTTCCTTAGAATGACATGCAAAGAATTACAAACATTTACCAATGCCTAGTCCTTTAACTGTTAAATAATTTGGCTTTCTTTAAATAAGATGCCTTTTGAATATAAAAATAAATGTCAGAAATTTGTAGTTTAACATGGATTATAACTCAGTTCTACCCAACTTGAACTTGATTGAAGTCCAATTCAAATGCTTGAAATCAAGGATCTCAACAAAAACAAATATACACAAACACCATTACTTGATTTAACACCGATATCTCACATTGAGTCTTTTGAAAGGGTATTTGTTTCATTCATAGCACAATTTTGACCCGAATCCGACACAGTCTTAGCTTGTATGTTTTAAGTTCTATGTACGTAGCTGGAAAATCTCATTGCTGGGCTGAAAAATAGGAATTTACAGTAGAGCACAGACCATATGCTAACCCATGCTTTGCACTAATGTGCTCTTAGAAACCCATATTCAGTCCCCTGTTCCTGATCCTGAGGACATATTTGATTGTTTTTGTACAAATTGAAATTGTAGATCTCTTGGCAAATGGAGATGGTTACAGTGTAGTGTTATTTAAGGACAGATTTCTGTTGATTATAAATATAATTGATGGGAATTGAGACTGAATTCAACGCTGAGAAATTTATTTTTTGCTATCAATTTCAGGTTAGCTCACTATTGTTAGTCTACAGTTATTATTTCTTGAAAATTTCAATCAGAGTCACGAATGAATTCCCTTCCTTTTAAGGTTCCACTATTAGAAAATGCATTAAAAAGCTATATCTAATTTAAGTAGAGTGAATGCATAGTTATATATAGTAACCTTAACTTGTGTTATAAGCAGTTGATAAGATTATTACAGTTATAACAAGTAGGTCAAAGCATATAGAGAGTACTTATTATGGCCTTTTCACAATTGTAGGGTTTTATTTATATATAAAAGGCCATCTGTATAACTAGGAGCAACTGATTTATTTGAAGTCACCAAGCGTAAATGCTCCATTACCATCACCCTTTAACTTGATGTTGGTGTTATTGGTAACACCAAGTAGCTTTTGATTGTCTCCATTGAGAAAGCAACCTGCTGGTGGTTGAATGGGAAGAGGAGAGTTGAAGTTGGGATTTGGTTCAGGCCGAGTGTACATAGCTCGGCTTCTATCACGGCCATCCATCAAGTCAGCAAAACCTCTAAACATCCCTGTTAGGATCAATCAAACAGAAGTATGAACTAATTAAGAAGTAAAGAAAAGAAACTGCTTAACTTGTTTTCTTTGTTAAATGTATGCATAATTTGAAGGAAGATTACCTTTTTATAGATGCAAAAGTTAGAATCTTAGGGCTAGTGGTTGCTTTCAAAACTTGCTCCAAACCCTTAACCCACCCCAACCCGTAACTTCAGGCTGGGTCTGACCCAAATCCAAACAAAATTAGCAAAAAAAATTGTGACCGTAATAGATTGAAAGTCGGATGAAGTTCGGGTTGACCCTCGTATTACATGTCCCGTCCCAAAAGTTTTAGAGGACAATGATGTTATTAGTTATTCATAGTTAATAGTCTCTCATGAGTCAAATTCATTATATTAGCAATGTTTCACAACTTTTCAAGAGTTTGTTAAAGTTTGAGTTTAAAGTGCTAAGATTATTATTGTTCCTATAGTAATATAGTTTTCCTATTGAGAAGTAATAAAATTTGGAGACTTGTTGATTATTTTTGTACAATAGTCTAATTTAATAGTATTACCTTATGAATTACATGTTGAATACATTCAATTTTATTTTAAAGTTTATGTATTACTATTTGGTTGCTTGCCATGGGACCAATCCGATTTTATCTTTGTATTGTCTCGTCTCGTTATTAGAGAAAGGCCTAGAAAGACTATAAGAAAAGCTGTAAGAAAGATTTCGAGATTAACGATTTGGATAGAAGTATGCTTCTATATAGAATATTATGATAGAAAGTTGATCCATGAAGTCGACCCTATTTAGTAGAATAAAACTTGGTTGTTGTTATCTCGTCCATATTATCCGAATCTCATTTGATTTTATTGGATTAAAAACTCGAATCAGAATCTCATCTGATTTTATTGGATTGAACACTCGAATCAGGTTCAAATTCTGATGTAACCTTATAATTAAGGGATGAACACACATATTCTTCCTGTCTTTGGAAACTTCTTCTTCACACAAATAGGCATCAAATTAAGTGGTAAATAGTTTTATTATGATATAGTTTTATTATCTCAAAAAAATTCCCACTCACTCGAGCTAGTTAAAGAAATATTTTTCATATATTCGTTCAAACTTGAAAGCAAATCAAGAAAAGAAATGTCTAAATTCCATAGGACGAAACCAAATGCCTGGTTGATATTTGTTTGGGCATCTTTTATCCAATTTGTGCAAACGGAATAAAATATGAATTATATCCACACATTTTGAAATTTTATGCAGTCTATATGTTTGTGTTTTCTTTGATTGGATATGATAATCCAAGTGAAATATTTCCTTTTCAATTAATAAAAGCTTCTTTCTTTAGTTTTATTTATTTATTTACAACACAAACATTCAATTTAGAGAACATCAAAAGAGATAAGAAAAGAAATCCCTCGCTTAATCAAATCTAAACTATTCTTATAAAGGGCTTAAGGGCATGTTTGTTTTAGTTAAAAAAAAAGAGATTTTTTTTTTTCAAAAATGTTTTACGAAAATATACTTTCAAATATTAAAAAAAAATTTGAAATGTTTTTTATAATTTAAAAGATTAATTTTAATAACTTATAATATAATTATATATTATTGAAGATCAAAATATAATCAAAATTTCAATTTTTAAAAAAAATTATATTTCAAAAATATTTTTTATGAAAAATTAATTAAAATAATTTCAAAATTAAATATTTTTTAAAATTTTGATATTTTTAATTTTTTAATAAAATGTTGAAATATCTAAAATAATATTTTAAAAATAATTATTCAAATTAAATTTTTATTAAAAAAATTTATAATTTTAAAAAAATAAAAATACACTTCATCCATTTTACAATGAATATCATTTTAAAAAAATTATTTGTTTTACAATGAGTTTACGATATTGAAATAATTTTATTTTTTTAATAATATCTTTTAATTATTACTTTATATTTTACTCTAATATATTAAAAAAGATAATTTAATAAAAATATAATGTATTATAACAATATTATTACATTTTTTTAAATTTGAATATAAATTTTTTAAATGACTTTCGTTTTGAAAAGGATAATAACACTATAAAAATTATTTTAAAAAAATTAAAACAAACATACTCTAAATGTGTTGGCTTAAGCCTCTTGAAAAAGGGGTGGATATTTTTAATTGGTGAATAATAAAATTCTATTTATCCAATTCTCTCCTTCTATCGCTCTCACGTACACACATCCGTAATACGGTTCTTTAAAAATTAGACTTGAGAAGAGAAAGATAATTATATAAAAAACCAAAATCGTATAAAAATATGGTGCTAATTTCAACTCGTGTGTCCAACAAACATTTATGTGATTATACATGGTGTTGATTTAACACATAAAGTTTTTAAGTTTGAAATGCTTTACTCCATCAATCTAAAGTTTTAGTATTTTCTTGTGACATTAATCTTGGATAAACTTTATACTAAAAAATGTTTTTCTATAAAGGAGTATGCAAGAGACATATTAAACTAGACTTGAATAAGATTTTAACGTGAGGTCGAGTTGATTATTTAGTTTTGAACTTGATCTTAAATTTGGTTGAACTCGATGCGATACAATTTCGATAAAGCCGATAACAATGGAAGAACAAGACAAGATTGTTCTCAAGAAAAGTTGCCTTAACTAAAACCTTGTTCTTTATTGAATACACTCATGCATGAAAGAGAAAGCAGAGAGAGGTTAAGCAAGATCTTCTTGCTTTGATATTTGTTAATTAAATTTGGAAAAGCTAAAGCTTTTCTTTTGTACAAGCTATCATCATCAAGTTAGTTATACATTTTAACTCGAAGTTAGTTACCCATTTAAATTAATTTAGAAACCACTTAACCAACTTTCTAAAGATAGTAAACCTAATTGGTCGATATATAATCCCATAAGATCATGTTGGTTTGAAGGAAGCAACCTTGGGTGTGTCTACGAGTCCAATGAACAAGTTGGTCGATAGTGGTTTTGTTAGCATATCAACAAACTGTGTGTGACTAAGGACGTGCTGAGTCTGTAATTTGTTTGCTACAACTCTCACGGACAAAATGAATATCAAGTTCGATGTATTTTGCTCTAACATGCAAATCAGACTTTGAGACAACATAAGTGCACTTTGGTTATAACAAAGTAACATAAGTATCAAGTAACCAATATGAAGTTCAAACAAGAGTGATTCCATCCATAACAATTTTGAAGTTGTGTGTGCCAAAGCTCGATACTCAGCTTTTGTGCTTGACCTTGCAACAAACGAATGCTTTTTTGAGCTCTACGATACTAAAATAGGTCCATAGTACATGACCCTGACGTTGACCTTCGATCATCAGGGTCACTTGCCCAGTGTGAATCATTATATGCTCCTAGTGAGAACTTTTACAAATGATTGACGGATGCAAGTGTCAAACCATGAGTCACTGTTCCACTAAGATATCGAAGTATGCATTTTAAAACACTCCAATGCGACTCAAGTGGACTTGCCATGAATTGATAAGCTCTATTAACACAAAATGCAATGTATGGTCGTGTGAAAGTAACATATTGCAAAGCTCTAACTGTGGATCTATAAAGTGAAGGATCTGCTTGTGTGTCATTGCCATATTTGCTCAGCTTACAATGCCTAAACATAGGTGTTTTCACTCCATTTTCTTCAACCATGTTAACTTTGGATAAAAGATCCTTGATGTCTTTCGTTTGTGTTAATAACATAGAGCCATTAGCCTGGTAATTTACTTCAATGCCTAAGAAGTATAGAAGAATGTCAACCTTTTTAAGTACAAATTTATCATGAAGTTTGGTGATGAGCTCATGAACTAATATGGAGGATGAGCCACTAAGAAGTATGTCATCAACATACGCTGATGCATACGTTGTAACATCCTGGTGTTTGTAAACAAATAGAGTGTGACCACATTTGCTGGATGAAAATCCAAATTGAATTAAGGCTTGGTGAAGTTTTTCATACCAACCCTTAGAGCATGCTTCAATCAATAAATGGATTTTCTTAATTTGCATACCAGAGTTGAATTTAAATCAATAAAGCCAAGTGACTGTGGCATATAAACTTCTTCATGGAGGTCACACTTAAAAAGCATTGTTTATGTCAATTTGTTATATGATAGCCAAAGACAGAATGACTCGAATGGTTATTGGCTTGACCATAGAGAAAAAGGTCTCATGAAAATCAAATCCTTGTTGTTGATGGAATCCTTTTGCCACCAATATTGCCTTGTATTGGTTGACACTTCCATCTAAATTTTCTTTAATCTTAAGCACCCATTTGCAGCCTGAGATCTTCATATGATAATGTAATGTTGTAAGAGTCCGAGTACCATTTCTGAGGAGTGAGTTATATTCAACATTCATTGCTTCAAACTATTCAGGTTTAGAAAGAGCTTGTTTATTAGTGCTATGATCAGTGTGTACAAGAAATACTTGGTTTAGAATTACTTGCCTTAGCTCTATCAAGCATAAGATGATCATTGACCAATAATGTGTTATGATGAGATTGTCTATGAATAGAAAAAATGGATTTAGTGGATTTGGCCATATAATTTTGAGAAAAAAATGTATTGATGTCCTTCTGTTTAGATAACTTAGGCCTCAAATTATTAGTAGGCTCAGGTGACCAAGGTTCATATGCAAGTATGACATGATGGGTATGTGTACTTGAATTTGATTGAAATGCGTTTTACACATGTGAAGGTTCAGTTAAATGTTCAGCAAATAATGACTAATTTGTTATGTATATGCGAATTGGTTTTCTTCAGCAGGTAACATTGTGTTGGGCCTAGGTGTATCAGTTGAGCATATTGCACTTGGTAAAGATATATCCTAGGGTGAAATAGTGGATCATTTTTAGAACTATGTTCTATAGATTTAGGTAATATTGTAGTTTCTATGTGATTTGTAGTTAGGAGAGATTTATGCAAGGACAAAGATGAGGATGACCACTGTCTTTGAACTCATATTTGAATGGAAAATTAGTTTCATTGA